GAGTGCAGAATCCTAAGGCCCTCAGAGCAGGTGTGCGGTTCCTATTAGCACAACCCCGACACCTCTCACCCACCATACTCTCAAAATCAAGGGCATGCCTTTGTTTAGGGACATCTTGTACCTCTTTCACTGAGAAGCAGTAAGATTTGGGAGCAACAGGCTTCTTTATTCCCAGTTTATGCCCAAAGTGGTACAAATGCCACAAATGTATCACCAGGTAGACATGTGGATTCCCAAGCCCACTCCACCTCCTCATGGCTCTGCATTCCTATGAAAGCACTTGGGGACCTAAATCTTAATGGCTTTCTATTTAGAAAAGACACACGTGCAATATTCAAGCCATTTATAGTGTGTATAGTTTCTCAAGATCTACTTCCAGTTCCCTGACGAGCTGCGCCTTGGCATAAGCTGATATTTCTCCCTTACCCCATCTTTGCCCCAGCTCAGCTGCACTCTGAGTCACACCTTGCAAAGCCCTACATTGCCAAGACGTGTGTTACACAGAGCTGGCACTCAGAAAAGCATGTGGAATGTGTCACTGATTCTAACTTTTTCTTCCTTGCTCCTGTGTATTTATTTTGTAAGTGGCATTTTCAACTAATAGAGGTTCAAAAAATACCCACACTGAACTGAATAAGAAAGAAAGCCCAAACACGATATTTTATTTTTAAAAAGACAAGCATTCATGCAATCTTGGCTGATACAAGGGATTACAAGTAGAAAACAAAATGCCCTTCTGCTGAGAAGGTGGTCTGCTGTTTCACAGCAGAATTTATTAAGGTCCACGTCTTATAGTTGATGATTTCCATCAGGGTATTTTTAGTTTCTGTATTTTGTTTTTTTTTAATGGTAACCCTGGTAAAGAATGAACACTTGATGAAGCCAGGAAAATCTTAATTGACATATGGGATACCAGCATGGGGTCCAGGGGAGCATATTTCAAGTAAAGCCTTGACACGCTCTGCAATTTGAAAACTGCCCACATGGTCATATGGGCTGGAATGCTCATAGCCCCCAGAGTCAGGCACGGGTCTTGGGGAATCTTACTCGCTCTTCTCCTGCTTCGCCCATTTCTTGCTTCAATATCACACTCCCCCTGAGGCACGCTAGAGCCAGAGCATGTGCAGACGTATCCAGACATCTGCCTGCCTTTCCCTGGCACTAAGAAAACCACAATCCTCGAGTTAGTGTGTTAGTGTGTTGTACATTCTATGGCTCTGGACAAATGTATGCACCATTATGGTATTGTACAGAGCAGTTCCATGCCTTCAGAAGCCTCTATGTTCACCTACTCATCCCTCTCCTCTAACCTTTGGCACCACTGATCTTTTTAGCTGGAATCAGACAATATGTTGCCTTTTCAGATTGGCTTCCATCACTTTATAAGATGCATTTACTGTTCTTCCATACCTTTAATTCCATTGTCTAGATGTAGCACAGCTTATTTATCTAGTGACCTACTGAAGGACATCTTGGTTGCTTCCAAATTTTGGTGATTATGAGTAAAACTGTTATAAACATCCATATTCCAGTTTTTGTGGGGACATACATGTTCAGCTCCTTTGGGTAAATGTCAGTGAGTATGAATGTTGGATCTTAGAGTAAGAATGTTTAGTTTTTCTAAGAAACTGCCAAACTGTCTACCATTTTGCATTCCCGCCAGAAATGAGTAGGAATTCCTATGGCTCCACATCCTTGCCAGCATCAGGTATAGTCAGTATTCTGCATTTTGGCCCAGTCTAATAGGTCTGTAGTGGTAGCTCATTGTTTTAATTTGCATTTATCTGATGAAACATGATACAGAGCATCTTTTCACATGCTTATTTGCCATCTGCAAATCTTCTTTGATGAGGTGTTTGCTAAGGTCTTTGGCCAATTTTTTAATTGGGTTGTTTTCTTACTGATGAGTTTTAAGAGTTCTTTGTATATTTTGAATAACAATCCTCTCTCAGATGTCTTTTGCGAATATTTTCTCCCAGTGTGTTGTTTGTCTTTTCATTTCTTTTGACAGTGTCTTTTGCAGAGCAGACACTTAATTTTAATGAAGTACAGCTTCTTCTTTCATGGATTATGCCTTTAGTGCTGTATCTAACATCAATTCTTCTCCAATGCTTCCAAAATATTTAAGAAGGGGGACATTGCAAAACTCATTTTATGAAGTCAGTGTTACCTTGATATCAAAGCCAAACTAAGGACACTACAGAAAAGAAAACTACAGGCCAATATATCATGATCAAATGGGATTTATTCCTAGAATACAAGGATGGTTTGACATATATAAATCAATAAACATGATATACCACATTAGAAGAATAAAGGATAAAAATCACATGATCTTCTCAATAGGTGCAGAAAGGTGTTTGAAAAAATTCAAATCCTTTTATCATAAAATCTCTCAAAAATAGAAGGAACATACCTGAACATAATAATGGCTATGTCTGATAAATCCACAACTAACATCATACTCAACAATAAAGAGATAAAAGTCTTTCCTCTAAAATCAGGAACAAGACAAGGGTGAACCACTTTCACCACTCTTATTCAACATAGTACTGAAAATCTTGGCCAGAACAATTAGGAAAGAAAAAGAAATAAAAAGCATCCAAATTAGAAAGGAAGAAGTAAAATTGCCGCTGTTTACAGATGAAATTATCTTGAATATAGAAAACCCTAAAGACGCCATCAAAAAACTGTTAGAATACACAAATTCAGTTAAGTTGAATGTATACAAAGTCAACATACAAAAATCAGTTGTATTTCTATATCCTAACAATGAAATATCTGAAAAGGAAATAAAGAAAACAATCCCATTTATAATAATATTAAAACAATAAAATATTTAGGAAATATTCTAGCAAGGAGTTCACCTTGCTAGATATATAAATTAAAACTATAAGAAATTGATTAAAGAAATTGAAGAAGACACAAATAAATGTTAAGATAACCCATGTTCACAGATCAGAAGAATTAAAATTGCTACAATGTCTATACTACCCAAAGCCATCTATAGATTCAATGCAATCCTTGTCAAAATTCTAATGTCAGTTTTCACAGAAATAGTAAAAACAATCCTAAAATTCATGTGGAACCACGGGATACCTCACATAGCCAAAGCAATCCTGAGAAAGGAGAATAAAGCTGGAGGCATCACACTTTCTAGTTTCAAACTACACTACAAAGCTATAGTAATCAAAATAGTATAATACTGGTATAAAAACAGACACATAGACTAGAGAGCCCAGAAATGAACCCATTTATAGTTAACTAACATTTGACAAGGGAGCCAAGAATACTCAATGGGGAAAAGAAAGTAATTTCAATAAATGTATTGGGAAGACTGAATATTCACATTCAAATGTGTTGGGAAGACTGGATATTCACATTCAAAAGAATGAAATTAAAACTCCATATTAAATCACTCACAAAAATTAACTTGAAATGAATTAAAAGACTTTAAGACCTGAAATTGTAGACTTCCTAGAAGAAAACAGGGAGAAAGCTTCTTGGTGTTGGTCTTAGTGATGACTTTTCTGTACATGACACTAAAAGCACAAGCAATAAAAGTAAAAATAAACAAGTAGGACTACATCAAACTAAAAAGCTTCTGCACAGCAACAGAAACAATCAATAGAATGTAGAGGCAACCTGTGGGATAGGAGACAATATTTGAAAACCATGCATCAGATAAAGAGTTAATATTCAAAATATATAAGGAATTCATACAACTCAATAGCCAAAAACAAAAAAACAAAAAAAACAAGTAATCTGATTTTTAAATGGGGAGAGGGCCTGAATAGACATTCTTTCAAAAAAGACATACAAATGACCAACAGATACGTGAAAAGATGTTCAACATCACTAATCATTAGGGAAATGCAAATCAAAACCACAATGAGATGTTACTTCACACCTATTATAACAGCTATCATCCAAGAGATAACAAATGTTGGCATAGATGTACAGGAAAGAGAACCCTCATGCACTGTTGGTGGGGATATAAACTGGTATGACCACTATGGAAACAGTATGAAATTTCCTCAAAAAATTAAACTACCATTTGAACCTGCAACTCCACTTCTGGGTATATATCAGAAGGAAATGAAATCACTAACGTGAAGAGGTATCTGTACTCCCATGTTCACTGCAGCATTTTTCATAATAGCCAAGACATGGAAACAACCTATGTGTCCATTGATGTATGAATGGATGGTGTATGTACGTATATGTGTGACACACATATATACGTACATACACACACATACATATAATAGTGTATATACAATGGAATAATATTCAGCCATAAAAAAAGAAGGAAATCCTGCTATTTGTGACAACACAGATGGAACCTGAGGGTATTATCTAAGTGAGATGTTAGACAGAGGAAGACAGCTATTGTATAATCTCTCTTACATGTGAAATCTGAAAGAAAAAATTTAAAAAGCCAAACTCATAGAGAGCAGAATGGTGGTTGCCAGGGGCTCAGGGGCAGGGGAAATGGAGGATGTTGGTCAAAGGGTACAAAGTTTTAATTATAAGATGAATAAGTTCTGGGGGATATAATATACAGTGTGGTGACTATAGTTAACAATACTGTATTATAAACTTGTAAGTTGTCGAGAGAGTAAATCTTAAATGTTCTCACCACCCAAAAAAAGGTGAGGTAATTATTTCACGTTATCATGATTATGGTAATCATTTCACAAAATATACACATATCAAATCATCACATTATATACCTTAAACTTACACAATGCTACATGTCAACTATATCTCAATAAAGTTGGAAAAAATAAAAAGTTTTTCAAGGGGAGGAGGAAGGTGGAGTTAGTCCCACATAATGTGGGAAAGGCAGAATCACAGAAGATCACCACTTGGCCAAAGGGCTTTCTGATCATCTATTCAGGAATTTTAAGTGGGCACCTCAATGGACTTTTTTATGCATCCTGAGATACGTTTTGTTTGGCCAACACAAGGTTTTCATTTTAACTAACCCAACAGAGTGGTTATAAAGTTCTGAAATCCCAGACTTTCTGGAAAAATGGGAAGATCTGACAAAGCAGAATCCATATTCCATGATGTCAATAACCCGCTGGGTTTTAAAGGTAAGCAACCCTTCGAACTTGGATCTCCAGCCTCAGCTTCCGGTCCCAATTCTGTAAACCCAGAGCCTCCCTCCGTGCTTTCCAGCAGTTAGAATGAGCAGGTCCTGATTGTTTAACCCCCTCGCTCAAAGTATAAGGAAACCAAGGACCAGGAAGTCATGGAAATTGACTAAAATCAGAGTCTTTTGGAAGCAAGATGGAGTGCTCGAGAGTCTCCCGCCAGACTGGCAGAAGCAGCCTAACTGGACTGGTCTTTGAATGGCCAACGAATCCGGCAGTGGTGGGCATTGCAGGGTTTGCGTAAGGATTTCAGGGTAGGGGCTTTGAGCAGCACAAACTGCGGCCATTCCCCACCTTCCTCCTAGAGCGGGGGGCCTCCTCCACTACAATGGCCCAGCCCAAAAAGTTTCATTCCGAACTCCTCGGAGTCTACCCAGCACCAGTTCCCAGGCAGAATGCAATGCACCCCGGGCTCCTCCTGGAGTCACCTTGTAGCGGGAGCAGATGCTGGCACTGGGCTCCAGCCGAAGACAGGACGCGCTCAGCTCTCCCACCGGCGACGCTCATGAGCCGCCACGGCAGGGCGCACAGGGCTTTGCGGGTTCCTCGGAATCTCACCATCTGAACCTGGCTGCTGGGGTCCCATTCACACCGGGGCGCCAGGGAGCAGAAACCCCTTGCGGGGGGTCACGCTAAGGAGGCCAGAGCTCGGTGCGTCCTGCGCCCTGAGCACACCAGGTGCAGAAGCGGAGCGCCCACCCTCTGCCTCCGCGCGGGGGTTGGCAGGGGACCCAGGGCGGAGTCAAGCGCGGGGCGGGGCGCACCGGGCCGGGTCCGAGGCTTGGCAAGGAGCTGCGGGGGCGGAGCGCCAACTCCAGCGGGAAGACAGAGACCGAGACGCGCCCGGGAAGCGCGCTGGAGCGAGGAAGAAAGAGCAACAGCCAGGCGCCGCGCCTCGGCACGCGCAGGTCCGGGTCCCAGAGGCGGGAACCGAGCGGCCGGGCCGCGGAGCGCGCGGGTAGGAGGCGCCGAGGCAGGTAGGTGCTGAACTACGCGCAGCACGCCGCCCTGGCTGGGTTGCTGACACCCACCTCTTTCTCCGCGGGATTCGGGCTGCTCTGCCTCCCGCCAGTATGGGATTCTACCGGGCTGGCTGGACGTGGAGGAGTTGGTGTCGGGAGAGGCCCCCACCCGCCGCAGGCCCGCTGGGATGGGCAGAGGACGGGAAGCTGGCACGGGAGTGCGCGCGCGGCCAGCGGAGCCCGCGGGTAGGGGGCTGGCAGGCGAGCGCCAGAGCCCCCGGGAGGGCGAGACAGCGGCACCCGCCAGAGGTGAGCAGAGAAGAGCAAGCGTCTCTGGGACATTCCCGCTCGCCGCATCCGACCCCTACCCCCATTTTTCTTCCAGCCCGGAAGCCCCGCGTGCTTTGCTTTCAGAGCCCAAATTTCTGGATTGATTCCCGCCCCTGCCAGGGCGGCGCCTCCGGGGACCGTGCGGCCTCTCCGGGCGGCTAATAAGGGAAGGGAGGGGCTCCTGGAGTGGGTCGAGGGCAGGGAATTTACCCCGCGACAGTGGGGCCAGGATCTGCCTCAGCCTCTGGGGTCTCCTCTGGGGTCTGGGAACTAGAGAGCCACCGAGCAGAGAAGCCCAGACGGCGTGACTCCTGAGCCGTGTCTGCGCGGACTGGGGCCTCGCGGGTGACGAAGAGGCGACGCGGAGGGCCCCCTTGATCCTCACTTCTGGAGGTTTTTAACCTCGGGCACGCAGCAGGCGGGGTGCCGCGGGTTGCAGCTCTGCTACTGCTGTCGCTGTTACTGCCGCTGGCCGTCGCTCCGGGCTCTTCTCATATGGCCGGGCCCATCGCACTGTCCAGTGTGGTCCTGTTTTTGCTACCGGCATCCCGCGGCCCCAAGTCGTTCCCAGGTGTCCTAGGGGCGGCGGGGGTTCAGGGAGAGCGGGTGGGATGTTCGGCCGTTCGTAGCTGGACGGCTGTGTTCCCCATCCTGCGGGTGTTGGGATAGGGATTTTTTTCCTGTCCCTCCAACGCCTTGAACCGAAAGGTGCCCTATCGCCTGAGGGCTCACAACTTCAGACACTTTATTTTCCTCTCGTATGGGCATCCTGAGGCACTGAGAGTATAAAGGACGTAGGCAATGAGGGGCAGTTCAGCCCTCAGGCACTCCTTGGTCCTCGCTGGCCACCCTGGCCTTGGGAGCTGTTTAGAATTAAGCCAGGTCTTGGAGCAGCCACCACTTTCAGAGGACACACACCTTGGTGATAAGATGTAGTGCCTCCCAGTCAGGGCTGATTCTGAGATAGGAACTGGGGGCCTCATGAAGGGGACAAGGAAGCAGATCAAAAGGGTGGGAGCAGGGAGGGGAAGCAGACAAAGGATTTTTTTCTTTACAGCCGGTTGCCTAAGCACGAGGAGCAGCAGGGAATTCGCTGCCACCCACAGCCAGCTTCTTGCAGAATCCTGGTATTTTCATTCATTCATTCAACAGATTCCTGTCCCGCCCCCACTATGTGCCATGCTCTGGCCTAGGCAGCAGGGAAGATTGTAAACCTTCCTGTAACCTCAGCCTGTCAATGTGAAAGTGGATTTGGTGATCTCCAAGTCTCTGGCTTCGCCAGGGCAGAAGGAGCAGTGAACTGTTTTGGAGGAGAGACCCTGCCGCCTCCCAGTCCTCTGGCTTTGTTGTCCCTGCCAGGAGATGGTGCAGGATTGTGACTGCCATAGAAGCCTGGGCCAGCTGCTTGAGCAGCTTTATAAAACTTCCAGAAGACCCTGTGGGAGTTGGTGGAGGAAGGGGAGTATGGCTAGGCAGGCAAACTGATCCTGGCCCCTGGGGAAAAGGCAAACATGCACATTCTTCTTGGGTGTCTCGAGAGAGTCCAATCTTTCCTATTCCTAGGACTTATGACAGCCTGTGGATCAATTTCTTTGAGCCCAATTTCCAGATGTCAGATCTCCTCTCCCCTTGCACCCTGGGTAGTTCTGTCTGTGGGTAGGCACTGGGTCTGGTTGGCCTATACCTGGAGAGCCCTGGGGGAATACTACCAGGTGTTCTGCATATTATCAGTTGGCTGTGTCTCCTTCCAGGATCCGGGATTGCAGGTTGACTCTCCCCAGAGGTGTGAGCAGGGTCCTAGGCTCTCTGACCTCATGAGAGCAGAAGGTCTGGATCCCCTGCTCAGAGTGCTCAGACCCCTGAGACTCCCACACTCCACTCCACCTCCAAGCTTCCCCATGGCAACCCAGAATGGCAACAGTAGTTTTGCACCCAACTTCACTCCACACCAAGACCATGCCTCCTCCCTCCCCTTCAACTTCAGTTACAGTGATTACGACCTCCCTCTGGATGAGGATGAGGACATGACCAAGACCCGGACCTTCTTTGCAGCCAAGATAGTCATTGGTGTGGCCCTGGCAGGCATCATGCTGGTTTGTGGCATCGGCAACTTTGTCTTTATTGCTGCCCTTGCCCGCTATAAGAAGCTGCGCAACCTTACCAACCTGCTAATTGCTAACCTGGCCATCTCCGACTTCCTGGTGGCTATCATCTGCTGCCCCTTCGAGATGGACTACTATGTGGTGCGCCAGCTCTCCTGGGAGCACGGCCACGTGCTCTGTGCCTCTGTCAACTACCTGCGGACCGTGTCACTCTACGTCTCCACCAACGCCCTGCTGGCCATCGCTCTCGACAGGTGAGGATGTGGGGCAGGGCTAACGGCAGGTTCTGGGCCAGGCTGCACCTTCCCTCACTTCATCCCTGACACGTTGGCATTGGTCCAGATGTGAGTGCTCACTGATCCATCACGGGGCAAGAGGAAACCTGTTTTCTCCAGTTCTGGCTGATGTCACCCCAAATAGGGGCAAGGGTGAGATTCTTGAGTGCCCCAGCTCTGGGCCATGCCCCCAGATACCATGTCCACTTCAGATGCAGGCATGTCACATGACCTTGAGTGCCATCAAATGCAAAAGTAAGAGGAGAAAGTGTAGTCAGCTTACTGCTTAGAAACCACATCAAAGTTAACCAGGGCAGCTTCCCATCAAGATAACATGTACCAAGTTTTTCCTGGAACCACTACCCTGATCAAGATAGAGAACATTTCCATCACCTAGAAAACTTCCTTGTGCCCCTTACCAGTCATTCTCCCTCCCACACACAATCACTGATCTCATTTCTATCATCCCAGTTTAATTTTACCTATTCTTAGACCATAAAAATGGAACCATACAGTATGTACTCTTGTTTCTAGTGACTTCTTTGCACAACTAATTTTAAAATAAGACAACAGGGCTTGTTTGCAAGAAAGAGAAGGACATGCTTGTCTTTGCTTTTTTGCATATATCCATGGATCATTTGCATACATTTGCATGAGATGTCCTGGAAGTCCTTGCTCTATTATAAATATATAAGGTAAAATTTCTAAAACAGCTTGTGACAAATCTGACACGTTTTAGTTATGTAAACAGGTGTAGGCCAGCCGTGGACCACCAGTGGGTCTGTTTGAGGGGGACAACTGGGGTCGCATCCTCTTGTCCACCATTGTGAGCTGTGCTGAAACTCATTTTGATAACGTGTTTTTTCATCATCTTTTCTCTCTTTTGTCTCCTTTCACCTCTTCCATTTTTCCCTCGTTCTGAGTGCTGTTTAGGTTTGTTGTCCTCTTTAATCAAGCAGTTGATTATTTTTCATTTATGATAAATAACAAATACAGGTTTAAAAGTCATCTTCCTCTTTATAACATAATTCCTTCAAGAAGAACAATTTTGTTATTACAACTCTGAGGCTCTCCAGCCCTGCAACCAGTGTTTATGAAATGTACCTATTAACCAGCAGCACAAAATTCCCCGAGTGAAATGATACAAAGCATCATTTGATACAATAATACAAAATCAGATTCCTGGGCCCTACCCCAGCCTACTGAATGGGAATCCCGTGGGCTAAGTTCCAGGAATCTGCATTTTTATCCTATGCCTAAAGAGAGAAGTTATCACTGTCCTCATCCTTTTTTCTCATTGAAACTTTTGTCTTTATCATGTCAGGGTTTTTTGGTAACATAGGAGTTTCTTAGGAAACAACTATCCTGTTACGACACAAAAAGTAGTTCCTTTTTCAGCCCAAACCAGTTCTGCCCAGGTGGTCTCAGTTCCATCAGCAGTTCTACCATTTCACCCAGGCAGGAAACATCACCATCATTCTTTGCCTTTTTCTCTGCCCCACCCGTACCTACCCACCCTTTGTGCTCAGCACCACACCAAGTCTGGGCAACTGTCTCTCCAGCCTCATTTCTTGGCAAGTTATGGCTGGACCTTCATAATGCTCCTCCAGCCTGTCTCTCCACCCCTTCAGGGGCTCCTGTCCCCTGAAATCCACACTCATCCATATTAAGCATCAGAATATTACCATTGATGAATCTTCTTAAAATATTTCATTGTTCACAAAACCTGCAGAAGTTCCTACAAGCCAAGTCCTTTACAGAATGCATGCCAAACCCTGAGTCTAGCATCCCACAGCCTTTGTAATCCAAGGCCAACCTGTCTTTCCAATCTTATGCTGTGTATGGAAATACAGATGGTCTTTTCCAAAGAACCTTGTATTTCAAGCTCATTAATCATATGCCTTCTTTCTGTCTGCACAGTGCCTAGCACACAGCCTTATACCTGTGTCTTAGTTTGGTTTATTCCCAACAGACTCTGAAACAAAAACCCATGTGCAGGTGACACCAGGAAGCACCTATAAAGGGGTGGGAATTGAGGCAGGGAAGGGAAGGCAGTCAATACAGGTTGTGTTAATGAACAAGTTTCCACTGGGGGCAACTGGAGCTTATTCCTGCTGAGGAACTCTTAGAGCAGGTGTAGATCACACCTCAGAGATCACCCAGGAGCGGGGAGGAGGGAGGGAGCTGAGATATTTATACACCAGCTTTCAGAAGTCACTGGTGAGGGCTGCTCTGGAAATGCTATGCAAGTAGCCAACAGGAATCTGGAAGCCAGACAAAGAAATGCAGGTGTTGGCAGGTGGGAGTGGACAGGTGTGCACTGAAGTGACAAGAGCAAAGGGATATGAGAGGGGTACCAAGGCGTTTGCTATGACCTGACAAATCCACAGCAGGTTGCTAGTCCTGCTATGTGCCCAACTTATGTATTTGGAAACAAAGTTGCAGAAGACACAGTCCTTGACCTTAGCTTTTCTTCTACATAAAAACTACAGTAATCAAGTAATAAATCAAAATTAACTTGAAGGAAGGCATGATCATTATGTTATTGGTATAGTCTAGGAAAGCTTCATGAAGATGTTGAGATTCAAGTATGCTATTCTGACCACCTCCTTTTTACCCCATTGATGAAGGCAGTTTTCTCTTGCCTGGACACTGAGCAGATGAGACTGACAGCAGTAAATTAGTCACATACACTCAGAGCCCAGGGGAGAAGGACACTACACCCATGCAGGGCCATCTGGAGTTGCACTTGGGTATAGAATGAACAAGTAGGGGCTGTGGGTAACAGGTTTCATATGAATGAGAGGATGAGTGACCCTTGGCTATCCTGGGAGAATGGGATTGGCTTGTTTAAATAATTTGGCCAACTGTCAGAGAGGTGACACCCATTAGGTTGAGGATTGGGGTATAGTTGGGCCAGCTGATCGAAGAACTAGTGGGACAGGAGCCTTTCCTGAGGGGCAAAAGGGTATATTTGGCGAGAACAGAGGAACCCACGGCTAGGCCTTTGGGGCCCTGCAGGGCTCAAAGATGTCAAAGCAGCACCTGGAATTTCAGGTCTTACAATACAGAAGCCTAATAAATAGTGCCCCTCTTTCTCATTCAGGTTCTAAACCAACTGAAAAATAAGGCAAAATGATAAGATGTGTGCCCTAACTCACTTTTGTTGTGATGACAAGGATGTTGGATTACAAGATTTCTATGTGTGGGCAGAGGGACCACTTCATACTCAATATTAGATAGACCTGCAAACCTTAACACAGCCACGGTTGGAGAGGTATGGGCCTCTGTGCACTTCAGTTTACCCCTTGGTAAAATATGCCTGTCCTACTATGTACAAATATCAGAAGGGCTACCTACTGCCATCTTGGATGCTACAGCCAGAAAAGAGCAAGGCTCCTGTGCAGAGGACCTGGAAGATATGCTATTTCAAATCATGCAGACCCTAGAAGGAGTACTGACCTCAAGAAACACAGATCCAAGTAGATAGATAGCAACAAAGACCTTGCAGATGTCCCTCTTACCAATCAAAGAGTCAGGGGAAAAGATAGGTTTTAACAAAGTATTATAGCTTCCAACATGTTTTATGTATGTTTGCTTCCTAAGAATCTGACAAAAAGTCTGAGAGGTTGTCAGGAAAGTTATTACTATCTCCATTTCACAGATGAAGAAACCAAGTCCCAGGAGCCTAAGTGATTTATCCAAGTTCCCAGCTTGGATTCAGGTGTACAGCTGGAATCCAGGTCTTCTGAATAACTCCTAGGTCAGTGTTCTTCCCTTTCTGATATATTTGATGACAACTATGGATTTTGGAATATCCTATAGAGTAAGAAAGAAGTTCCTGGATGAAAAAGAATTTAAAAGAGTTGACAATAGAATAAGCAGTAATGTGGAAATTCTATTTGACATTGGTTATTGAGATACTTTTCATGCTGGAACCAGACCAAGGGATAGAACTATTCAGTCCTGAATTTGTTCTGCATTATCTAAGGACTTTGGATTCAGCATGGTAGGCAGAACAATGCCCCTCCCAAGATACCCACATCTTAATCCCAGAACCTGTGAATATGTTATGTTATATGCCAAGGGGGAATTAAGGTAGCAGATGGAATTAAGGTTGCTAATTAGCTGATCTTAACACAAGGAAATTACACTGGATTATCTGGGTGGGCCCAATGTAATCACATAGGTCCTTAAATGTGCAAGAGGGTGGCAGAAGAGTCAGTGTCAGAGGATCAGAGTGATGCAATGTGGGAAAAGCTCAAGTGGTCATTGATGGTTTTGAACATGGAAGTGGGCCATGAGCCAAAGAATGCACAACTTAGAAAAGGGAAAAAGAACAACAAAAACCAGATTCTCCCTTCAGAGCATCCAGAAAGGAACACAAACCTACCAACACCTTGATTTTAACCCATTAAGACTCATGTCAAACTTCTGACCTCCAAAACTGTAAGAGGATAAATTTGTGTCACGTAAGCCACTAAGTTTGTGGTAATTTGTTAAAGCAGCAACAGAAAGCTAACACCCTCAGCCATGGCAGAGAGACAGTAATTGGGAGATGTCCCTGTCCCAGTCGAGGATGGGCCAGCCCATTTGTTCGAAACTCCAGCTCTGTGAGCCTTGCGCCACCCAGGCAAGTCACGCAGGTTAGGTTGGTGAGGCTGGGTGCCATGGATGGGTGAAGAACTCCAGCAACCACTTCCCATTAACACATCCAGCAAGGGTGCAGTGAATGGTTGGGATGGGATTCAGCTTCATCCCAGATCTTCAAAAAGCTGCAAGCTGGGGAGAGGCCTACTGCTATGGTCTAGCTGAATTCTATAGGTCAGAGTTGCTAGTGAGCCAGGGGCAGGCCAGAGAAGATAAAACAATCTCATGGCAAAATATGCAGGGATAGGCAGAAATAACATGGCAGAAAACCTTCTTGGTCAAGTTAGAAACTTGGAGAGGTGGATCAAAGGGTCTGGTTACAAAGGAAGAATAAGTTTAATAGAATTTCTACAAGTGGCTTCATGCTCTTGGTCCCAATCTGACTCAAGCTCCAGGTAAGGTGTACACTTTCATTTCCAAGGTTGAATTGTTTCCTCCCTGCCCTCTCATATCTTTTCTCTTCCTCCACCTTCTCCTGCCACCTCTTCCTCTCTCCCCATAAAATGCAAGAAATGATCCCAGAGCACTTAAGTATTTAATAGGTATTGTGTTAGGTCTTTGGAAAGAAGGTATTCAACCACATACCTTCTCATCTGAGCTTAGGACAGCCCAGCGTACTGGATGTAAAAACTTTGTATGAGGAACCTGGATTCTAATCCCTGGACCAACTGAGTTTGGGCAAGTCATTTACTTCATTAGATGCCTTGCCTTAGATTCCCACCCCAAACAAACCCACCCTACCTCATGCTCTGTAAGGTAAAATGACACCTAGGGGGAGGAGAGAGAAAGCCTTAGTCCACTGCCCTGAGAAAGTTCTCCATCTCTCTGAGGTCCACAGCCCTGCTTTCATCTCTAAACCATAAGATATTTGGAACGAAGAGTTTTGAAAGTATTATGTTCTTGGGAAGAATGGCAAGGTTGAAATCCAAGGACTCATAATACTAACAGACCATATGTATTTATTGAACACCTATTATTTGCCAAGCATTTTACAAACATTGTCATATGTAACGTTCACGGCAGCACTGCAAGGTAGGTGTCATTTTACCCCTTGTTGCTTTGAAGAAACAAATCTCAGAGACTGAGTGATTCATTCCAGACACCAAAACCAATCGGGAAAAAGCCAAAATCTATTCCCGCATTCAATCAAAGGCTGTGCTGTTTCCACTAAATCACTACTACAAATACCAAATGATGTTACTAAAATAAGATGAAACTTGCTGATGCTGGATAATAGGTAAGCAGGGCCCCCCCTGTGCCATTTTGTCTGTTTGTGTGTGAGCTTGGGGTTAGTTGGAAACTCATCATGATTCCAAGCACACTTCATTATTATTGATGGCTCCCCTCCCCACCAGGTATCTCGCTATCGTTCACCCCTTGAAACCGCGGATGAACTATCAGACGGCCTCCTTCCTGATCGCTTTGGTCTGGATGGTGTCCATTCTCATCGCCATCCCATCGGCCTACTTCACCACAGAAACAGTCCTCTTCATCGTCAAAAGCCAGGAAAAGATCTTCTGCGGCCAGATCTGGCCAGTTGACCAGCAGCTCTACTATAAGTCCTACTTCCTCTTCATCTTCGGCATCGAGTTCGTGGGCCCAGTGGTGACCATGACCCTGTGCTACGCCAGGATCTCGCGGGAACTCTGGTTCAAGGCTGTGCCTGGTTTCCAGACGGAACAGATCCGGAAGCGGCTGCGCTGCCGGCGGAAGACCGTCCTGGTGCTCATGTGCATCCTCACCGCCTACGTGCTGTGCTGGGCGCCCTTCTACGGCTTCACCATTGTGCGCGACTTCTTCCCTACGGTGTTCATCAAGGAGAAGCACTACCTCACGGCCTTCTACGTCGTTGAGTGCATCGCCATGAGCAACAGCATGATCAACACCGTGTGCTTCGTGACGGTCAAGAACAACACCATGAAGTACTTCAAGAAGATGATACTGCTCCACTGGCGTCCCTCCCACCACGGGAGCAAGTCCAGCGCTGACCTCGACCTCAAAACGAGCGGCATGCCGGCCACGGAAGAGGTGGACTGTATCAGGCTGAAGTGACCCGTTGGTGTTTCACAAACACCCAAAAGCCAACCCTTAGAGCACACTTCACGAGTACCCAAGCGCATAGGCTGCATGGGGAAAGGGCAACTAGGTTCACACCTCAGCACCCTGGAGAGCTGGATGTTTTGGGTCGTAAAGCGCGGTGAGACTAGACACAAACCACAGCAGCCAACATTTCCTGATCTCGGCTCAACACATCATGTGTGCACAACCACACCCGTGAGTCCAGACACAGGTAACAGCAACTGACATTGACTGAATGTCTACTGTGTGCTAGCCACAACAGTGAGATAAGACTGGGCAATAGGAGCTAATATTGACTGATTACGTACTGTGTACAAAAATATTTAAATAACAGAACAAAATGGTAGAAGTTATTGGCGTCATCAAGCTATATCCAGATGTATAGATGACCAGACAGGCCACAAATGGCTATCTGGAGACTGGAGTCACTTTCCATCTTCCCTCATTCTGTATCCCATCAATTCAGACATGTGAGGCGGCCATAGAATAAGGCACTTAGACACAGTGGAGGTGGAGGTGTACAAATAACGTTTGTCTGAGTGTGGAGTTTACATACAGCCTTATGGAATGAGAGTTCATGCCATCACATTGAGCTTTCCCACTCAGCTCCTACTACCTCTCTAGGATATTCTCTAAGATTCCAGCTGCCAGTAAAGAATTTTTCTCATAACCAGGCCCTTGATTGTCTACAGTGATATAATTTCAAAGGAAAGAACCAAAAAAATCTCTTTTCCACTGATGCTTGAAAGCTCACCATTCTTTTGGATGAAGATATACAATCCTTCAGGAAGGAACACATCCAGATTCTGACTCCTTAGCATAAAGGATTTCAAGGGCTCTAATGTCATGAAGGAAGGAGACAGAGAAAAGGGTAGACAGAGCTTGTGCCTGGCAATGAACATAATCTTTGTGGCCATTTTGTTAAGGCCTGGACCACTTTTCTAGAACAAACCCTCTTTTACAAGATGAACTCTGCCTAGAATCCAAAGGGCTGGAATGAAGTCCTAACTCCAAGACTCATATGATCTGGATATTTCTCTCTGTGTCTCAGATTTGCTTCAATGAAATAAGGATAATGAAAATAACTGTGCTGTCTAGCTTACAGGACTATTGGGAGAGTCCCCATTGGGGTCATAATTTGTAAAAGTGCTTTTCAACAATCAAGTGATAAAAACGGATAAGTGATACTGAATAGTTGGTTTGCACAAAGGAAACCCCATCCACTACGGCTTATTATGAAGAAACACTTGGACTTTTTCATACCTATTCTTTGGATCCCTGAACTCTCCATTGTGCAGCCCATCTCTGCTGGAGCAAAAACGGCCTGGGTTCTAATCAGGAAGATTCACTGGCAGGGTCTGAGTGACCCCTCCAGACTCAGCATCCCACAGCCCTAGAAGTGTTAACAATCTTCCTGAATGTTGCCAAGCAGCACTCCCCAGGGCTGCATAATCTGTATTATTATACATCTATGGTGGTTGTGTATATTTGCCTTTATCTCTTCCTGAATCATTTTGAAGCAGAGACTATACAAATGGTGTCTGGTTTGGGAATAACCCATCCACATTTGGACAACAACTACTTTTCGACAGAGAAAGAGTTATTTAGTTGTTTGCTTGTCTTTTTTTTTTAAATTCATTTTTGGCTTGTTTATCCAACAGTGAAGTTTCAATCAACATTTTCTTCTATCAGCACCCAGCAGACTCACTTTCAGCCCAGTCTGTACCCTCAGAAAATGTAGACTTACTTTAATATTAGCCTAAGCCAAATGGTTTATAAATTCTGAGTGCATTCTAAAGCCAGGTAAGTAGGTATCTGGGGTTATCTGCATTTTTACGAACATAATAATAACAGTATTTTTATTTATTACCCCATCCTGATGCTTCTAATAAGACTCTTTAAGGGTAGACTGTGTACCAATTGTGTTTGTCAAAAGAATTCAACCCCCTTTTTCCTCTTAATCCAAAAATGTCCCATCCTCCCTCATTTATTTTAACCGAAACAACCTTTGTAAATACCGTTGTGCATTTGTGATTTTCCATTGAGTAGAGGTGTTATGTTATCAAATTAAGTAACATAAGGAGTCTCAACCACACAGTGTTCAAGCTTCCCCTCCACCCGACCCCACTGATCTTTCATCTATGTTAGTATATTTAGATAGAAGTAATAGCCATCTAAACAGTTCAACTCTGAAACAGAGAAGGAAGTTGTTGAAGGCATTTTTAGAATAGTGGTATCTCATACCAGCAACCAGTCCCATCCCATCTTGGTTACATCCCTTAAGCTTAACAGCCTAGAAGTCATGCATGCAAATGAGCAGAGAACCACTACTCTGTGCCCGTGTTACCCCTTCATTTAAAAATTATCTTGTTTGTTGAATGAAAACTGCTGTTTGCATGGAGAGTGTTCATTCATCTAACTGGTGTTAAAGTAATAAAATAATTTGAATTTACCCTTTCCTTCTCAAGATGAATTAATGGTAAGCTTAAGATACTTTTAACATGTTAAGATATGTAACCATTTATATATACAATTATATAGTAGAAATTTCATCTTATTTGACAAAACAGATCATCTCATTTGACAAAAGAGAAAAGACAACGTTGTGATGAAGCTATTAGAGATTTTTCTTTCAGCACCCAATGTCTAAAATCAGTTGATTCTCAAATGGAAGCAAGCAGAAGATGGTGTCAAGCTCTCAGACACAAAAACCAATTCTAGACTTATGACGAAGAATATGACATGTGGGAGGTGATTAGAAAAGTGAACATGAGTTCTATTTCTAGGGGAATATGATGGCTTTGAAATATATCTCCTCAATTTAATCATTATCTCTCCCTCGGGCTCAAGAAGGCACATCCATGCACCAATAAGACACCCGAGCAGGAAAAAAGGCCTTTTAAGGGCATATAATTCAACTCACTTTTTCCTTAGGTGAGGAGCTCTGAACTACAAATGGGGAAATGACTTGCTACGGGCACAGCACGCTTGTTGGCGCTGAAACACTGCCCCAGGACCTTCTTCTGGTCTAGTAACTTCACTCAGTAACTGCCTCCGATCTCCAAAGGAGATAACCCTTGCCAAGAATGCTTCAAGGGCCATTTAAAACTGGCTTCTGACCTCTTGGGAGAATTTTAGGTGCACAAAAGAGACCTTCCCTCTCTCTGGCAAGCGGAATGCATTCCATCCAAGAGACTTCATAATCCAGACTCCAGGCTTCCAGAAAAACCAGAGAGAATGACACAAGGGCCACCCTAATGCTCCTGCCTTCTTTTTCCCTAATAAGAGAAATGCCCCTATTGGGGGATGTAGAACACATCTGACTCGAGTGTACATGATGCTATTTGGAAATACAGGGATAAAAAAATTTTTTTTCTTCCTTCCTAAATTCTTTTGACTGGTCTATTAATTAACTTGACATAAGAGATTAAAAAGAGAAGAACTAATTTAATTTTGTTTGTTCAGGAGCCCCACAAAGATGTGAGAGGCTTAAAGAACAGGTAGGCAATTGAGGCTTATATGCCATCCTGAGCTAAGGAGAAGGGGTAGGGGTGTGGGGCTTCACAGAGAAAGAAGACAATTCACAGGAAGATGGAAACATGTGGTAAACAAACGTTTGTCATACCATGCAGAGACATGGGACAGAGAGAGGTGTTTCAACAAGCAGGCTTTGCCAAGCTCCCCCACACTTGCCACTTCTAGCCTATACTCTTCCTAGGGGTCTCTGGGGACAGGTCTCTCCCAGGTCCTCTATCTAAATTCTTAGAGGCAGTTAGGGGAGAGGCAAAAAGCTCTTTCTGATTCTTTCAGGTCTTTATTGTCTACAGCTCAAAATAATCCCCATGCCAAAGTGGTATGTTTTAGGAAGGCTTGTTCTGAACCCTTTCAATATGCTAGAGCCACATGAGAAAGCATATTGTGATGGGAGGTGACCCTGGCCTGAGGAGGAGTAGGTGGTGGGAGAAGGGGCTGCTCACATTCAAAGGCAAAGTCAGTCTGAGGTCACCCAAGTCGGTGTGCCATCATTACACAAGTTACTGCGGGCTGACCCTCAGCAGTGGTCATTCTTTGTGCCTCCCAGGAACCAAATGGTGCTTCTGGTCAGTCTCTCTCCTGAAGTATGCCAGCCAGGTACACATCACTTCCTGGGGTTGCTTAAGCCACTTACTCCTTCACAGATGCTCAAAGAGTTCCAAAAATAGGACAGTTTTTTCAAGAGATAAGCTAGTGTGGGAAAAAGATGTATTTGGCACTTTTTGCAGATTCAATAAATAGGTGGGAAGCACGGGCCTCATTGGAACTTACAAGTTATCCATGAACAGGGAAGTAAGTAGGGGGTTTGCCTCCAAGAAGCAGGGAGGTCAGCCCTTGGAACAGGAGGTCATGTAGACACAAGGTTCTTGCATTCTTTTGTTAACTCTCTGTACTGAATTTCCACGTTATGAGTCACAAGCTGACATGAAAGAGTTTGTCTCCAGAATCTCATTTAATGCTGACCTTGGGTTCTCACCTCTGGATCCAGTGCCTAGGCAAAATCCCAATATAATCCCTTGACTGAACTCAGCTGCAGGGATGGTCCAGTGCGCATAGAAAAGGATTTTCCGCTCCCTCCTCCTGTCCCTGTGCTGGCTGATATAGAGAAACAAAGGTGATGGAGATGCAAGCCTATAGCTCAAGATGACTCGAAATAATATATGATGAATTTAATGTCAAAGTTGACGCACTGGAAGCACAAAAATGGAGGGAATTTAGATGAAAAATTCCTTCTAGCCATGATGATCCAAAAAGGTATAGGGTAGGGGGTTAGTTAGGCCAGGCCTTGAAAGATGGGGAATTGGGGGAGAGGGTATCCCAGGCAAAGGGAACAGGATGAGCAAAGACATAGAAGAGGGGACATGAGATGGAATATAAGCAGGACAGAAAATAGTTTGGTTTGATGGGTATAAAGAATGCAGCATGTTTAGGGGAAGAACTCAGGCAGCAGGCTGAAGAGTAGGGTGATGAAAGATGCCAGGGGCTGGGAGTGGCCTCAAAGAGCCTGGCTGCACAATCAGACAGAATCAAGTCCAAGTAGTAATTCTTACTTAACCATATGAATTTGGAAAGATACCCCTTATCCAGGCCTTAGTTCCTCATGTATAAAATAGGAATAACAATAGTATTTACATCATAGGATTATATAAGGATTAAGTATATATCTTAGAAAAATGCCAAGCACCTCATAAGCAGTCAATAGATATTACGTTATTTTTAGAATGATTAATTAACGGGAACATCTCCTAGATGAATCCTGGACATACACATTATGGCACATATAATGGATATAATATTGGCATCATTAAGCCAGAGTATTTTTACTTTCTGTGATCCCAAGTCTCTAGTCACCTTGGACTCCCAATCATACTGGGTCAGCTCAAATCACAGGATTTCTTCCATAGTGTGGAGGATGCCCTTCCACTATTAAGGCTGAGACAAGAAGTTTAATGACTTCCCCAGGAGGGGAGACTATGATGTAGGGGAAGTCCTTTCCACAGAGAAAGAAAACAGAGCCCACCCCTTCCAGGCCCTATGATGTTAGGAAAGAAAAACAGAAGTTAATTGAAGACCAGATGCATTTGTCCTTTCTTTCTCTTTTATGGGCTAAATCTAGGTGGTGGAGGTGGAGATGAAATAGAAGCATCTAAATTACAGGGAAGCCTAAGATCAAGGGGTAGGGAATGCTTCACCAGGCTCAATGGAGGAGGCCCCAGCCCCCTATGAGCAGCCCTGTATATGACCCAACAAGAGAGCAAAACAGCAGCAGAGGAGGCCACAAGGTACAGGAGTCTGAGGCAGCAAGCAGTGACATGCAGAGATCCATAAATTCCCATGTGCTCCACTTAGATGGCAGGACAGAAGCCTGGGGTTGGGTCAAAGAGGCCATTATGTATGTGTGAGGTCTCTGCAATCAAAAACAAGTAGCCAGGAGCCCAGACAGGACCCATTGTTTCTCAGCAGTCCATCCTTCAGCACAGCCAGCAAGAATCCAGGATCCATATTGCAGCCCATAATTTTGAGTCTTCCTTCGCCCGTCCTCCAACAGGAGGCCACAGGAAACTCCACCACATTAGCAAGGAATAGGGCACAGCGACTGAAATCCAAAATGTGTCTGAAAGTGGATAATTTAAACTGAGGGGAGTCTATTTAAGTTCAATAAGACTATATATCATTAACAGCTAAGTTTAAGTTTGCTTCTCTACCTCTCCCAATGAGATGGGGGTTCATGAAGCTTTGATCAACGATAGAGAAGTCAAGCAGCTACATTTTCCCTGTTCACTCAAGTGGTGGGTCTGCCAATGTTACATGCATCACAATGATGAAGAGGCAGCAGAAGCCGGGGCCTGAGTAGGGCAAAAAGAGGAAGAGAAGCTGTCACAATGGACACATGATAGGAATGGGAAATGTCCCACGGAATACAGATCCAGACCTTTTGGAGTAGTGCCCAAAATAATAAAGAGAAGAGAGTATGTCTTCAATGTGAATGGTTGATACAGTATGTGGTAGCCCTTGATATTGGCAACTTTCAATAACAAAGAGTCCTGATGTGATTATTTGTTATTTTGGGAGGCAAAAGTTTCCACCTTGCGTACCAATGACTTGGCCAGCCAACAACATGCAGTCGCCATTTCAATGGTGCTTTCTTGTTCTTTTCTCAACATTGTATATCCAGTTGCTCTCACAAAATTATAAAATATCATATTTCTTAGTAACACAAACCAAAACAATTCCCCCTCAATGAGAGCCAATGGCTTTCTGGTGAGGGAAACCGGTGCTGATGTGGAAAGTGAAGAAAGAAATTAAGATGTTACTAGGTGAGAAGTTAAGGATCCCCTAAGAAAATAATAATTCTAACCAGAGAATAGGTGAACTTAAGGAAGATAATGACATATTTGCTTATTCAGGTCCATGGCATGAATGAATTGAATATACACTTTATACAGAAATAAGAAATAACTCATAATGCCCTCAGAAAATGTCCAGCCTATGAGAAAAAAATTACGTTTTATGAAAGAAATTATACACCATGTGCTGGTCATATAACTGGTGATTCCCAAAGGTCTAGGGTTAGTCCTTCAAGAATGTCAAAGCTCTATCTTTTCTAGACTTCAGTTAAATTTTTGATGCCTTCTTTTAAGGGAGCATTGTGGGAAAACAGAGGATTTATAGAGGAAGTGATATTTTGCCTAGAGTTTTAGCTGGTTAAAAAAAGTATATTGATAAAAGGTTCTGTGTCAACCTAAAGATTTTACCCATTACTTGATTTAATCCTGAGAAGGCAAGATTATTAAAGGTTTGGATCCCTGAAAGAGATATGGAGGGGACAGCAGACACTTGGCTAAGTCATTCATCATTCAAATTGTTTGACCTATTTGTTCACAAAAGCCTCATGCATGGTTTGACATACTCACCTGGATAATATGCCTGAGGTCCTGTCTTTTTATTTTATTTCAGCATTGGTCATTGTATCATGTAGAGGCAGCTGTAGATGAACTCTGAGAATTAGTTCCCTCCTCCTCCTCCTCATTATCATCACCATTTACCATATGCAGAGAATTGTGGGAGCATCAAGAGAAAGAAACAAAATTGGGAAGTCCATGGCTGACCCAGAAATGCACTGCTATCCACAGCACTTTTCGTAACAGTATTGTTTTATAATTAGGCCACTGCATTCCGCATCTCTGAGGATCATTTCATGGAAGGGCAAACCCAGCTTCATCTCTTACTATAGCATTTTTAAATTCTTATTTTTTAATATAATTCTGATTACAGTATCATAAAAACACATTATGCTGATGTTTGTAGTTCTCAGTTTATTCCACCTGAGCTTGACTTCTTTGATTTAAGCAGGATTTTAGGTAAAAACTTCTCTTAATGTTGGGTTTATAAACCATTGAAGTGACTCCGAGTGATCTTCTATTCCCCTGTGGAGAACTGAATAATGACCTCCCAAGTCCTAGTTGCTGGGACCTGTCAACATGTAATCTTATGGCAAAAGGGACTTTGCTTGTGTGATTAAGTTAAGCATCTTGAGATTAGGGGATACTCCTGCATTAAGTGGAGTAAGCCCAATGTATATCACAAGAATCTTTATAAGAAGAAGTCAAGAAGAACAAAGTCAGAAAAAGAAGTTATGATGACAAAGCAGAAGTTGGAATGACATGTTTTGAAGATGGAGGAAGGAGACACAGCCAAGGAATGCAGATACCATCTAAAAGCTGAAAAAGACAGTAAGACAAATTCTCCATTGGAATCTCCAGAAAGAACGCGACCCTGTTGACACC